GTTCCCTCGCCTGCGCCCCCCGCCCCCCCCGTGCCCCACGGCAGCCGTGGAGCAGCCCCGGTGCCGAGCTGGCAGGCACAGATGCCTCCCGAGGTGATTTTTTGCCACTATGACCCCAAATAGCATGTCTTAGCTCTCTCTGCAGCGGACTGCCTTGGGCTGGCGGTAGCGAGTCCCTGCTGATGTACGCGCCCGGGTATTCACGGGGCAGAAAAAGGCCAGTCCTCAAACAAGCAAACATCAACTGTGGTTTCCCAGCGCTGCCCATCAGCCCCCCGAGTCCCACCCCCAGCCACGCTCCCTCCGTGCGCTGAATATTGGGCAGGTTTCCTTCAGGCAGCAGCTTTCACGTAGGCCAGCAGCCAGACATTCTTGGTGCGGCGCTGCTGTCACCCTGCCAGCCCCGCTCAGCCGCTGCTCCGCACCAGCGCCACCAAAAAGAGAACCAAAACCCCAAGAGGAAACCGAAGAGTTGACACTGGGATTCTTTTAATGCAATTGCTTTTAAAATGCAGCCTTAAAATTACTTATCATGGTCAACGATTAGAAATGACAGATCTTTTTCATCTCTGCAACATAACCGTGCAGCACCTCTGCCTCCAAAACCCACCAGCCACCGCTGTTCCTCCGCGTCATTCTCCGACTGCTTTTACAGCGACTCGCTGCCCCTTCACAGGACACACATCACACGGGGCATCCAAACCCTCCCACCAAAGGGACTCATTTGGGCAAAAAAAGGGACATCGTTCATCCGGAGAACCTAAACGAATGGCAGCACAAGCGGCAGCTTTCTCTCTCTCACCTTACACTCAGGCATAAACCTACAAAGGTATTTGAGCCACCAGCTCCTGTGGAAGTGAGTGAGAGCTACCGACTCTGTGGATCTGTGCCTTCATGCTATGTAAAGTGACTTGAGAACTGGACATCCGACCGCATTAACTGGCTGAACTGATGGCAGAGGAAGTTGATTTTCCAGTATCTTGCTTTTTGAGATATAACACTACTTTGTGTATTTGTTTTACAGAACAGCAGGTGCCACAGACTGCCGAAGCTTACCAATTTAAGTAACTCGGGAAATTCTGCTGTAGCCTAAACATCTGTGAGAATATACCCCAGCACCACCTCCACACAGGGCAGTGTTTATACACCGTAACTGGAGAACAGACTTGTCTTGCTGAAATGCGTTTAATACCTCCCAGTCGTTAGACTGAGTTTTGTTTTTCATTCCCTGGACTTGCCACGCGGCCCCTGGGCTGTACGCGCTGTAGAAAGCTGATGGCATTTTAGCCGCTCTTTCCTTTTCTCCATTTAAAATAGGCTCTGCTGCTCCACTGCAATTTAATGGTCCTCCCCTTCCAAGAGGGGAGTCGTGAGACTGCCAGGGAAGAGAAACTGCAGAAGGGCCCAGGCCACATGGACCTCCTGAATCTGCCAGTGCTGCATGATACCACTGCTCTCCGACAAAAGATGCCTCCTGACCGGGTGCCGGCACTCAAACGGCTCTCCCAAATCACCCCTTCGCATCAAGCTTGCATTTTACTAGTAACCTCAGAATCAAATGCAGAAAGCCAGTTTGGTCTACAGAAATACTATGCGCTTATCTCCGAATGAATTTTAAACACCTCTTTTCAAGGACAGCATTTAACAGTAAATCAGTGGGTTCTCATAGCTTGGTCTCCAATTCTGGTAATAAAACATGGATTCAGATTTGAACAGACTGGAGCTCTTCTAGAGCTTGAGCAGTAGTTCTCGCACAAACAAATGTCACGATTAGAAACTGAGCGTAGAAAGAGTCCCCAGGGGAATACGAAAAAGACATCACCTTATGAAAAAGCTTCAGAATGAACCTGTGAATTAAACAGCAACCAGACAATCGTCTTCTACAGAAGATGGAAGTAACAGTAGAAGAATAACATCTTAAGTAGTCAGTGAGTCAGTCTGAACGTACAGGGGCACTAGATCCCTACAGATCTGCGATGAAAGTGCTATATCCCTACAGATCTGCGACGAAAGCTAATGGCCAAAACCAGCTGGTCCCCTCCAGTCCCAAAGGGAGACTGGGTTGCGATTCACTCTTCACCAGCTGGAAGATTGTCTTCAATCCGCCTGATGAACTTCATTCTTATTTCTGTGACGCTGTCACCCTTCAGTGTGTCCTGGACGAATTTTACATCTACGGCCATCTGAACCTAGGTGATGGAAGAGGAAAAAGAAGAGCCGTTATCCCCCTTAAAATAGCAGCTTCTCTAGGAACTGCCTGATCGTGAAGCACCAGCTTAAGGACTCTGAGGGCATGACATGCAATGCAGAGCTCTAGGGAAGCACTCATCATTTTTCAAGATCACATCCTCCTTGTACATTGTGGCCTCCGTGGCGGACAGCGGGCACCTCACCTCGGCAAATGTACCTCCTACAGCGTAACCAGGACTCCCTGCAGAGATCTGAGCCCAATTAACCCTACCGCTCAGGGCTACGCGTCCTGCTGCTCCATGTATGTTCCTCCAAAACTTCAGCTAAGCAAGATAATCAAGCCTAAATACAGACTCCTAAATTTGAGACACAGCTGTTCTCTTGTTCCAGCCAATTCCCAACTAGGGCTCATAGCGGTTACAAAGTGAGGATTCTGAAGCTTCATAAAAATTCAAGGAGATACTAGTGCTTGTGCTTGGGTCGTAAGATGAAGGGGCTTGGTCTGCACCTCTGGGACTCACAGCTGCCATACACAACGGCAGCCGAGCGCTCCTGCCGCTCTGCTCTTCTCCTGGGAATGAATTTCAAGTCCAAAGCAAACGCAGGAGTCACAAACACAGACTAGACACTAAAGTATCTGCCGATACCTTGGTTATTCATATACCTATCTCACTGGAAGAGAGACGTTGGCTCACCATTTCCAGGGCACCTCGCAGCACTCCACACAACAGGTTGGAATAGATGAGAGATGAGTGGTTGTCGGGGAGCTCAACAAAGTCCACCAAGGGGTTATTTTCCAAGATCAGGGAGAACTCATCGCCTCCAGGACTCCAGTTGGTGATGCTCGGAGTGATGCCCAGGTACATTTTAAATGCTATCTGTTACATCAAACAGTATGAACGTGTCCCATGAAGCAACAGCACAGCTTTGATCTTTGCCAAATTACTAAAGGGTTTTGAAAACACCGCGCCTTTCTCCCAATTCCCACCAGTCAGCAGTAGTCAGGGATCTAATTCTCTCTTTTTACTCCCCCAAAATCTCAGTCAAACTCTCAGAACAGTCCTGTGAGTAGCAAATACTCTATCCTCACATGCAAAACCATGACAAAACCTGACAAAGCTGTGCTTTGACAATTACCTTTGCAATAACATCTGCAGTTTCACGGAAGTCATGGCATCTTCCAACATTGGACCGGGCCAGAAAGTCTTCTATTAGCCGAACACCTATGTTGTAACCCCTGTGAATGTACCAAAGAGCAACAGCTACAGAGCGGGAAGAGCATAGCTTTAGAAAGACAGCCAACATTTATAAAAGAAGATCGTGGAGGAAAAGAAAATTAAATCTGACAGATATCAGTATTAAATAAAACTCAGTCTGCCAGGCTTTTATTCTTGGTGCAGCACACACAGACGTGCCGTACTGTGAACGCGAGCTCCTAGAAGATCTCCTGCAGCAGATCCACTTACATTTTGTCAAGCTGCTTGTTGACGTCCTCGTCATTCTCGTAGTCCTTGCACAGCTGGGTGACCAGAGCGCCGTACGTCAGCGTGAAGAGCTCCGAGTTCTAGACAGAGGCAAAAGAGATTTAGCACAAGCCGAAGAGAAAACCGACTGAGCACTGCTGCATCTGTGTCCAGTGCTGCTTCCGTTGGCCCGGAGAGGGGGAACAGAAACCTGCTGTCTCAAAAGAATTTACTGCTTAATAAGGAGAGATCCCAGTTCGTATTTCGGCAAGGCAACTTCAGTCTCCTTGGAAAGAGAAATCCTCTTTGACTAGGAACGACTGAGCACTTTCTTCCTCTCCCTCTCTCCGCAGCACTTCCCATTAACGTGTCCCAAATCTGACCTGAAGAGGCAAGCCAGGAGGCTGCTCGCACTCCTCTCGTCAGCTGCCAATTAGCATCTTTCTCTGCTTTAACGAGCACATCCCCAGATAACTGGATGGCCGCTACCGGCCACCTCCTGGATGGCTAAACGGGCAGTTGCCAGGGACCTGAATTTATTTCAATCACTGACCCAGAGGTGAAAACTGGCTCAAACTGCTGTCTGTTTCATGAACACACTGCAAACGGGCAACACTCGTTTCTGGTCCTTTCAACAGGACAAAAAATGCTCGTCCGTTCACAGATTTATTACATTCTGCTACCAAGAAAAAACAATACTCATCTGGTCCCTAGAAAGTTATCTAGGCACATAATTTGCTTCATATATTAAAATCGGCTCCTCAGACCCAGAAGAGGAACAGCAAGGACGATTTCAGGTCAGCTCAGCAGATCTGTGTTGTGCACGTCCGCTTTCTGTGCCTGGCTAGGATCAAAGTTACTTGGGCTTTCTTTGCACAGTTGCCAGATTTGCAGAAAACACCAAGGGAAGAGGTCTCTCCCAGCCGCCACCACCACCGATCCTCAACCACAACCAACTACGTCAAAGTGCATTTTCTTGGGAGCCATTAAGCCGGACCAGTGATTACGTGGTCATTAAAGGCTGCAAAACAGAAAGCTACAGTAGGCTTTAGCTTTTCACAGAACGTGAAGGAAGTGTTTTCAGGAACAAATAAACCATCATAATTTATTTCTGCTCTCAGTTTAAGCATTCAGAAACATTACAGAGAGTCTAATCTCAGATTAAAAGCCTATCACCTACCATGAGATGCATAGATGCAGAAGGTGAAATGAATGGCAAATACCAATACTACAGAATGAAAGCAGCAGGCAGGCAGAAAGGAAGGGAAAAGAGACAACATCAGAGTTAAGTGACAACACTGATCGCACTTCATTCTGAACAAGTTTACACAAAGCCAAGACAAACACAAGGAGGAATCACTCCCAAACGGCAGCATTCAACAAATAGAAATGGGGTTTGTAAGAAGACACAGGGAATTCCACCTTGTCGTTGTAAATCACCAGGTCAACAGCCGTTAGCCACCGAAAGGCTTTAAACAGGTGAAAAGAACTAGTCAGGCGCCTTGGTACTTTTGCCCAATTTTAGATCTAAAGAACTGACGCATTCTTTGGGTTATTTTACTTACAATTCTGCCTTCATCTTGGAAAGATAAAGGTTGCGCAAGTTCACATCACTCAAGAGCCACGGACAAGGCAGAAGTCTCCTTTAGCTCAACTGGCAGAGTCAGACATTTGGCAGAGAATTTAACAAACATGCAAAAAAGGTTATGCTATTTTTAAGGATTTCAGTAATTTTAGTAAAGACAGGGCTTGGCAGCTGGAGAGAGCAGGGGGTGAGTGGATGGAGGAAATCCAGCTGTTACCAGTCCAAGGTGCTGTCATTTACCGCGTGAAGCCATGAAGCCGTCACCTACGGTTATCAGCCCCAAAGCGTGCAAACCCAGTGCTGGTCAGTTATCGCCTGCAACGCTGCTATTCAGGTAACTTTAAAGTGTTACAACAAGGCAAACTTCTAAATTCGTATTTGTAAACGAACTCTTCATTTTCAGTCCATCTAACGGAATTAAAGTGCCTAATACTTTTTCCGTTCTTTATATTTTTCCATATTGCAGGCTAGTGTACAGTCTCAACACTATATAACCGGTCTGTGGCTACAAAAATGTCAGAATCCTAATGACGTAACACCAATTCCTTAAGTAAAAATCATTGTATTTAAGGAGTTGAACCCCTCAGAGAACCCCCCGTGGCACGGAGGGGGCAGGAGCGAGAGGCTGCCTGGCCCCTGCTGAGCCTGAACCAGCCCGTCAACGCGGCCAAAGAGGGAGGAAGAACGGGTTTTATTTTTATTACTTGCTTTCAAATACTGACATCGCATCCAAAAATGAATCAATTCGATCTGTTTTGACCCAGAATTAGACCTCAGCTCCGTAGTCTTGTTCTCCTTCACGCCTCAGTTCAGCTGGGCGGGTAACGCAGAGTTGGGTTAGAGAGAAGGAAAGAGGGAGACGCGAGAAAAGCCTCCGCGTTCCGACTGCAAAGTTTCCCTGACCAGAAGCGTCCCGTTCCTGCCCGATCCCGGCGCACGGCCGCCG